CCTCGTTCGCGACTTTTGACAATATTCCTCGTGCTATTGCTATGGGGAAAACCCAGCTTTCTTGCAAAGGCCCCTTTCCTTCCGTTCCGCAGAGGGCTGCCGAAGGTTTTGGCGACTTTGGAAACTTTAAAGGACATTACCATTATAAACCATAGTATTTTTTGTAGGTCCTCTTCTGAGTGGTGTTTAACAAGTAAGCGTGGAATTGAGTTTTTCAAGGGGCTCCATCCAATTGGAACTGGCCTAGGGATCGTCACCAAGGGTGGTCAAACCATGAGTGAGTCAGCCGCGAAAAGGCTAATAGATAAGTAATGACTCGAGCCACACTCTTCACCTCCTAGAAAGACTCCCAACGACAGATAAGACAATCAAAACAGCTTTTTGCGGACTTTAAGAAAGGGGCCGGAGCCTTGGAACAAATCTTATATATGCATGTGACTAGTGAGGGCGTAGCGTGAAGTCTAGTGCTTCAATTTATAGGTTCGTGGTGGCACATTTGCGGGCCTAGAAGAATCGATAGGTGAGAAGGAGAGAAACTTACATTGCGGTCTATTCTCCGCCCATACTATAAATACTAGCCATTTACATTGTATATTAGATAACTACACTCCGAGCAAGACTTTGCCTCAGAGACCCTTCTAGCTCCTGTTTACGTCAGAGTAGTCGCTCCCCACAGTGACTCTCTTACTAAACTTGCTTCTAGTCAGTGCGACTATAAGCACACACGGTACAGGTATCACCAGGATCATATGTTTCCGCAAGTGCTTAGATGTGAGAGAATGACTGGAATGCTGCGGCGGACGGAGCCAATAACTCGAACGTGTTTACTCTCACGGTCATAAGGTATTTGAAGAAGCATCGGACGATGTCGGATCTTAATCGTCGGCAGCTACATCTATAGAAACTGCTTTCTCCTCTTTTGCCATGGGCTGCGGACTGGGAATCAGACCTATAACCGCGATGAGAATCCTTTTAGAGTTACCCTCACTCCCCTGCAAAATCCAAACCCTAAAGAGCTCCATGTGAGGGTCCTCTATGCGAAATATGGTGTGCGAGAGTGTTGAGTGACCCAATTCAAATAGTTTTTCCTAGCTAAAAAGAGAAAGATTAGGTGGCTTTTTTCCAACAAGAAAGGCATGGGGCACTCAGTTATTATTTTACTCCGTTAACAAGTCTCTTGGGGACGGCCTAAAGGAAGCAAAGTTGAGGATAAAATATACTGATATGAATTAGGTGTGATTAGAAAGCATCTTGGCTTTAACGTCTAGAATGTAATAAGTCGTAAATGTGTGCATGGATCTCCAATGAAGGAAAGGAGAGGCTCTATAGAAAGGTCCTAGAGAAGAGTATGTCCATTCTATAACCCATGTGGATTCTTCGATCGTGGGATGCTCTTAAGGACTGCTGCTTAGTTGTCCCGTGGGATGGATCGCTGTACCTCACCGCTGTTTAACGACTTCTTCACACCGAGCTTTCAACTGAGGTCGCGACATAGTGATGGTGTGATGATAGCTTTGTCCCACAGCTTTGAGTTCGAGCATAAAGTGATTTGCGGATTCTATTGGAATCTTCCTTCTCTCCAAATTCGATCCATTCATCTTGTCCCAGAGGTATCATCAATTCTTACTAGTAAAGGTAAGAGGTAAAAGTTCAGTTATCCTCATATAAACTGTAGATGGTGAATCGTTGCTCCGCGGATAGAGATAGGGCTGGTAAGGATCTAGCGTAAATTCAGAATAGAATGATAAGGGTACACATTTGCTGGACTTTTCATGAGTATTAAGAAAGTGACATCCAAATCCTGATTTTCCGGAAGTTCTTCTACTAGTAGAGAAAGTTACCTAGAAGATTGGTTTAGTGATAATATTTCCAGTTGGCTCGTCTACTTTTCTCTTAAGATCTCTAGCTCTCTATACCCAGTCGTCGTTTCTTCCAGTTAGCAAAAGCGCTTCTCTCTTAAGGTGACCCCCGCCGTTCTATTGGAAGAGCAAGATCTAATTAGATTAGTGTTATAAGTTTTTCTCTCTGAGTTAAAGCAAGCCAAAGCATCGGATTACTGTGTCCTTTTCGGACTATATTCTCTCTAATTGTCTTATGATAAATAAGAACTTTTGCTTAGCACGGTTGGTAGGCCAGGTCTTGCTCAATCAAGGAAGCTAAGGTAACGACTTTGCTACTGCTGGTTCTTCTCTCTATTGCGTTAGACCAATCATCTTACTCTACATAAAGACTAGTGCTGATGTCAAATCAAACCCGAACAGAAGTTCATCACCATCTTTGTCATTCTTATGAAATTCGTGGTGAGCTATTCTCTTTCTATTTGCGTCAGAATGGCTCTATAAGTAATGGAATCGGGCCCAAGGGAGCTAGAGACTCCTTTTTGACTTTTATTTAAGTCTCATTCTGCGCTCTTGCTTTTTTTTTTTTTTTTTTTTTTTGATTAATTAGGCTCCACAATGTCACTTTAGAAAAAACTCAAGCTAGAATCATGAAACAAAGCAACCCAACATTTTCTTTTTCGAAAAAAGGAGAAAAGCATTGTAAAGTTGTAACAATTCAAACCACATGCTAGCTTAGCATATGGAATTGAATCCCAGATGGGTGAGTAATGAATGATAAAAAGATTTATGTAGGCCAATCAACTACTGTTCAAATATTCTGGGTAATTAATTAACTGTTTTGGATTTCGGCTGAACTCTAAAATAATTTATTTGTAGGGGGAGAAGCTACGATTTATAAGAAAAAGAACTAAACCAGTGTATGCACATATATCAAGAGGGCAAAATGATTAAAGGAAAAGAAGTAAAAATAAAAAGAGACATGTAGCGTCGCCATTGCTTCTTTGGAATCAGACCTATGAATTAAGTTATCCTCCGAACAAATTTTCGAAGTGATTTAGTTTTTCAATATGATCTATGTGCTTTCAAAAGGGTAAATGTACATTTTTCTTAGTTGTCGTACAAAACACATTAGGGTTGTGAAAGATTGCGTTTTATTATACTTTGATTGCGTTTTTTTTGTACTTTCATTTGATATTAGTAATGTTATATATGTTTTTTATATCTTTGTTATTTCAGTGTTTTCATGTTCAAACTAACAACTTTATGATCTACATTTGTCATAATATACATTGTCATGATTAGAAAATTAAAATTGGGATGAAAATGAAGTTTTAGATTCATATTCATAATATTTGTTTTCCAGGATATTTTTAGCACTTTTCAATAAGCATAAAAAGAATGTCAATTAGTAGTCTTTTGTCTCGTTAATTTTGGATATATTTTGTTACGTGTGTACATGTATATAGATAGATACTGTGAAAAGCTATTTACCGTGAATATGTGTTTTTCTTTTTCTTCTTGACGAAATTCTTTTTAGCAGCACATTTCATAAGGACGTAAAGAACTCAAATCTTCACCATGATGATACTCTCCATTCCAAACTACCAATAAATGAACCATAATAGAACATAATGTAATAAAATCAAAGCTATATAGATAGAAATGTAATGAACCATAGTGTTATGTTTACACTAGAAATGTTGTGATTATTTACATTATACTAAAGATACCTTTGATCATACATTATATTACGGCTCACCAAGTGTAATCTAAGAGTAACCCTAATTAAACAGTTAATTATATAATGTCCAGGTTCTTGTCCTATAAACCCTTGCAGTTGGCAAAACAATTTCAGATTATCAGAGATTATGTCTCGCTATACTTAATGAACACATCAAGCAGCACCTCCTTTATGATGCTATCTGTCGTCTAAACTTCGTATGCAAATCCATCCACCTCCTTCGATCAATAATTCGTTGTTGAAAATGAAAATGCCTTCATCAACTACACTAGTGTTACCTCACTCACCACCTTCTGCAACCTCAATGACCACAACCTGAACTCCAATTTTCTTGCTAATTTCGAAAACATAGGTACTTATGCAATTCAAGCTAGTTTCAAGGGCAATTACCGTACTGATATCTATCACCTCTAAATCTTAACAGTACGATATTTGTAAATAGCTGCTTCCACATTGCAGAATGGCTAGGTTTACAATCTACAAGAAAATCCACTAAAATAACAACTGAAGAAAGAAATTGAAAAGCGTATCAAAGGGGATTGACCACAAAGATTGACATCTTCATCTTAGATAACTAACTCGACATCGACCTGCTATAGATGTAGGAAGATTTTGGATAATTTTGTTTAATGTTTTTTAAAAGTAAAAAAAAAAAATGTCATTATGATGTCCTAGCTAGTTAATGCTCATTAGACTATTGCATTTAGGTTCTTTAAGATTTTGAATCTGAGTTATTTAGAAGATTTCTGCATTTAGTGAAGAAGTCATTTAGAACTTGTAAATTCTACCCCAGTTGAGCGTGCACAATCTCAATTTTGAATTCTCTAAAGGTTTGATGCATTTACTAGCTAGTGTAGCAGCTTTTCCAATGAAAGTCTGAAATTTATTCCCTATAATTTCCACATTTCCTAATTCTTAGGCCATGGCTCCAATACTGGATTAGATGGAAAAATCCCGATCTAAAATATCTGTAGATACTGTATTAACCAATTTGTAAAATTGCACTTTTCATATCACTCTAAAAAGAAATCCTAATAATTATAAAACATGCTCTCTATCCTAATTCCTTTTCTCCTAATTCACCGACAAAAGGTGAGCATCCATGCATAATCAAGCTATATCGTGATTCATTTATATCATCAAATAGCCCAATTAATTCAATTAGCGTCATGAAATCACAATTTCTAGCTAGTGCATTCAAAAAACTTCACCAATTAAGCGAACTTCACAATTCCACTGGAAAACAAATATCTACACATATATTTATATAGTTAATATATTCAAAATATAAATTAATTAAATATATAATCATTCACATACAATTATCAACAATCAAATCTTATCATCATCATCATCATCAACTATCAATTCAAGAAATAAATATAGCAACAAGAATAATGGAGGATCTTTAGAATGACCTGGTGCTAGCGAAATCGTAGAGCTTTCCAGTGCTAGAGAATATTATGACTCCAACTTCCGCGTCGCATAGGATCGCAAGCTCCTTTGCCTTCTTCAACAGTCCATTCCTTCTCTTCGAAAACGTCACTTGCCTGCTCGTCGAATTGTCTATTCTCCTTATCACTATCTTCCCTCTCCCCATTTTCTATCACAGTCCTCTACCTTACTAAAGGAATTTCTGCAACAAATAAGAAAAAAAACGAAAAGAGAGAGATCGAAACTCCAAATGTTAGACAGCAGTTAAAAAAATTATATATAAGAAGAAGATAATCGATTCTTTACAAGGAGAGAAGAGAGAGAAATAAGCTTACCTGTGGAGGCGTTAATGGATACAAAGCGGGGTTTCAGAGACTTCGTTTTGAGAGAGAAAATGGTGAGTAATAGTAAGATTTAAAATACAATCAGCAAACAAGCTATATAAGGAAAGGAAAAACCGCTAATATTTTATTTTTTTGTGTGTAAAACCGCTTAGTGGTTTTTTCTCAGGTTTTTTAATTCATGTTGTCCAATAAGAAAGAAAAGAAAGAGAATTTCAATTTATTAAATCGTAGCGCCGTCCGCCGTATAGATTGTTGACGCGTGGAGTATACGGATTCGTATACCGTAGTTCCTATTTTGGGAATATTTAGTTTTTTAAAAAAAGAGAAAATAGTACAAAATTGAATAGAGAGCGAGAGAGGGTTTAGTTTTCCTCCTAGGGAAAGGGAAACTTTGCCCTCTGCATTCACGGAATGCGTACAGGCTAAAGTGACAGGAGGTTGTCATTGTCAAATATGGACGACCAACTCACTACCCGATTTTGACCAGTACTATGTATTTGCTGCTTTATTTGCTTAGGGATTAAAAAGATAATGGACCTACAATTACTTTGTTAATTAACTATATCAAGTTGATAATTAAATAATAAAATGTGGTCGAGGATCACGTGGATTAGCTAAAAAATCGACTAGTCTTTTAAGACGAACTTGGTAACTGACAGCCTTGTGCTTACACTAAAACAGTTGGTGGAAGATATGTTCATGTTGTTTTTATTAAAAAAATAAATGGATATTTATTTTTTTAATCTTGTTCATACTATATGTAATTTATTAGCTCAATAATTTATATATTTTAATTGGATTGAAGATAAAATTCTAGAGTTGATAATCTATTTAAGGAAATATGCTTTTGTTTCATTATTTTTAAGTACCGGTATTTTTAATATTTTGAAATCGCGCTATAAAACACAAATCAGTCATTATAACATATTCGAGATTTTCATTTTTCACGTCTATATGAAATGCGAGAAGATAAACCATTCTTCACGTCTATATGAAATGCGAGAAGATAAATCAAACGACGATAGCTGATTCACGATAAATTAATCATTTATATGTATATAATTGATTATTAATAAAATGAAAGCAAAGGAGCATTCATAAACAGATAAGAAAGGGCACTAAAGAAAGAAGTGACACAGTAAATGATTAGACATCATAGTACTAATGCATATAATACTAAATATATAAGTGGAATCTAACATCTGTTTGTTTTTTTTTTTTTTTTGGAATGTAATCAAATTCTTCAGTTATAAAATTTGATTTCATTAATCACTTATCACATTATAAAACATATTCGAAGATTTTCATTTTTCACGTCTTTAGTATGAACATCGCCGAGAAGATAAAAAACCATCTTCACGTTCTATTATGAAAATGCAGAGAAGATAATATCAATACGTACGATAGCTGGATTTGGCGAAGGATATAATTAAATCATTTAGTATGTATATAATGATGTATCTAATAAAAATAGAAAGCAAAGGAGCATTCAAAGAGCGAATAAAACAGATAAGAAAAGGGTACACTAAGAGATGACCAGAAAACGGGAAGTGAATTCAATGTCCAGCATCCGATGAGTGACACAGTAAATCGCATTAGTATACATCATTCATCTAAGTAGTTCAAATGTTCAAAAATAATACTAAATAGTGATTACTAAGTGCACCCCCCAATCTCAACATGGATCTGTTTGTTTTTTTTTTTTTTGATAAAGGTGTTATCCAAAACCACAGGTGATGGATATTGATTGTGGTTGTGACCTTTCCCTTCTTTCATCTTTTCTTCCTCACACTTGGAAATTTTTTAGTGTGAGCCCACCCAGAATCTGGAGAGTAGCGAAGGATTTAAATTCTTTAAATCTTCCATTTTTTTTTCTAACTACGTACCTCACTTATTAGGAATTCTAACAACAACATCTGTTTTTTTTTTTTTTTTTTTGGATAATGTAATCAAACACAGTGATATATTGATGTGGTTGTGACCTTTCCCTTTTCATTTTTTTACATTGAAATTTTTTAGTGAGAAAATTTAATAGAAATTAAATTCTTAAATCTTTTTTTTTTTTACTACTCACTTATTAAATTAACAACTTTATGCTAGCAGCAAAATTTTAAATTAATAACTTTATATTATTAATAAAGTGTTGATTGAGTTGGTTATCAATTTCAATCCCATAAGAGCGTTGAGAATACAATTTTAATTTGAAAAATGCACACTTTACCAAGAGACTTTATTGGGAGAATAAAAATATAAAGAAAAGTTGTTATTTAAAAGTAATGAGTGTCATAAATCATAATTTAAATATTAACTTTGTCAAATATTTCTTTTAAATTAAATATTTAGCTGGTTATATTTAATAAATTTTAATATTTTTTAGAAAAAATATTAAAATTTATTAAGAAATATTAAAATCAGTAATCAGTAATAACAAAGGACTTCATTATTAATATAAAGCTCTTAACATATAGTTAGCAATCAAAATGCCCTAAATATAGTGTAATAAAAGATAATTTAATGATAAATGCATATTAGGTATAATTATAGATTCAGATTTAAATATTATATGTCCGATACTAAAAAAAACACTAAATATATTATATTACTATGATTTATGAGTTGTGACATACTTTGGGCTAGTAGCTCTTTATGAGATGTCAATGAAAAGCAGGCACGTGGAGGATATTGGAAGCGAAGAAAAGCACAGGCAAATCAGAAAAAGATAGTTTTTCCTCAACTTGCTTTTAAGGTTTCCTAATTAGGACAATAATTGACCATGCCTACAATAAAATTTCCAATTTCGACGTATTTCAAGTTTTCAATGTAGTTGTCAAGAAACCCGATTCTGCTTTTTTTTTTTTTTTTTTTAGGAACAATGAATAAATGGTATATATAATTTCTACTTATCATGATTAGGAATATCATTTCAGCGGTTCTGACAATTCAAGTTTCAAGCTTGCCCCACCCACTGTCACCGATGTAACTTATCTGAAAAACCATCAAAATATATATAGCCGTTCTAAATGCCACTCATAATGGAGAGTAATATATTCAACATTTTTTTTTTTTTTTTTCTTAGAACTAATGAATAATGGTATATATAATTCTCTTATCATGATAAATATCATTTAGGTTCTGACAATTCAAGTTTCAAGTTGAGCACTGTCACCGATGTAACTTATCTGAAACCATCAAAATATATATAGCCGTTTAAAGTAAATGGAAGAGAAATTCAAATCTGTGTCTATTGTCAGATTATATATGCACTTACCACTAGTCTTGGTGCATATATATATATATGTGTGTATAATTATATTACAGTTAAATTACAGTGATAGGATTAGTTTTATTAACCTTAGACTTAGATTGGACCTATCTTGTTAAGTTTTTCTTAAATTTTTTTATTTAAAAACAAAAAATTAAAAAAAAAAGAAAAGAAAAAGAAATACTAATGAACAATCAAAGCACAAAACACAATTGTAGGATTCATCATGATATATTTTATTGAATTTTGCATTGCATCGATCAGTTTGCATTCCTCCAAACGCATGGGAGCTCAGTTGCAATATTTGATTGACTGGCTTGCACGTGAATGTATATCTTGGTTTACCCAATCGAGGGTGGAGGCCATGAGGCCAACTCCTCTTGCACGCCTTTGTCAGAGAGTTTTTAACCCCCTTTTAGATCACAAATCAAGAAGACGTACCTTTCTTCATGTTTTATCAAAAGAGTACCACTATTATTTTTTGTATTCCAATGTAGCAATTGTATCCAATTGTTGAACTAAGTCCTATTGAGCTATCTTATTTTTAGTTTAACTGATCAATCTTATTTAACATATTATAATTCTCAAATATAATATGTCGGAAAATTGAATTTCAATCGTTTTTACCTAACTCCCATGTTATTTGAACCACACATCTGAGTTTTATAAATTCTTAATAAATTATGAAAATTTGTAAATAATTATGCTCTATAACTAAATTAATGTGGCCATGTTCGGTCAACTGTTTTATTTCGAAAAAATTTTGTAACTACGAGAACTTATTCTCGTGCGATATAAAGAAGAATCGCAATATAGCGTTTGGAGCAGAAGGATGTCTAGGGTTTGGAGTTTGCCTGATTCAATTGGCCTTGCCCACGTGAACAAAAATAAAGCAACCAATAGGATTCAAGATTAGTATTATGGAGACAAAACCATGGGCTACTGGAGATTAGCACGCCGGTAATCGAGGGCACTGAATAAAATATAACATAAGCATGGACAAGTGTCAATCATCAGCCAAATGATATAAGTGTGTAGACCGAGAAAATAAGATAAGTTTCACAGTGTCCTCCAATATTGTTGCTCAGTTCCATTACTTAATTAACTCTATCTCTATCTAAATTAGTAACTACTAATGCTTTTTTTTTTTTTGGTTGTAATTTTTTATTGTGTGGAAGTGCCAAGTGCTGAGAGAACCAAATGAACTTTTTATTTTTTTTAAAATTAAATAAATAAAAGGTTCGACAGAATGGATCGAAGTAGGTTTAGAAAATTCCTTCAATTTTCACCTTAAGATTAAATAATTTTATTTCATTTTCTGATGATTCCATGGATACAAACATCCCATCCTATTAAAATTTATAATTTCATCTTCACCCTATTCAATAAAAATTTATAATTTATAAAATATAAAAAATGTTAATATTTTATTAATCCATAATAAAATTAATAAATAATATAAAAAATATTATATATTTTTTTATTTTTTTGGTGGGATGCGAGGCCATAGCCTAAAAAGTTGGAAAAAAAAACAAATATCTCATTGGAAGTGAAACATTTTTCCATTTCTAAGAGAAAAAACAGAGCTTGATTTGGCATTTTTTAGGAAGATCGTGCTCCTTTTTGATAAGTTTCTACCCACCTTCTCTATTAATCGCTTTTTGGTGGTTAATTAGAGCTAACCACTTGAGTGTTGTCTGAAAAAAAAAAAAAAAAAAAACCATTTCCTATTTAAAAGAATTTAATTCCCTAAGGTCTTCATCTTTCACCCCTATTCAAGTAAAAGAGGTAAAATTATTTTATTTTATAATAAACCCTGATAAACCAAGTATCTAATGCATAACTGTGCAAATTATTTTAATATCAAATTAACCGGGCATGGTACCCTAAA